TTAACAGAGTCCTGAACTTTGGAAAATCAAATTTCATATTTATTTGACTGTAAGAAAAAAAAACTGGACTAGACTGGACCCACTCCCCTTGTTCCTCTTTCCTTTTCATTGCCACAAGCTCTGCGAGAAGCTCCTTGGTGGGCTGGTGGCAGACAAACAGCCCCAGGGACCCACAGACTGATCATTTGGGGTGCGAGTGAGGACCTTTGCTCCTGGTCCTCAGGCATCTTTCCCCTTGCCTGACTGACTGCTGACACAAACTCACTTAAAAGTCGGTAAGACAGAGGCTGAGATGCTGATGTGAAAGGCTCAGGGTGCTGCATCCCGATTCACTGCTCTCCTGGAGGAGCCAGAGAGATCACGATTCTAACATTGTGCCTTGGTGCTACCTTTTGTGGTGTGAGCATCAGTGACTGCCAGGAGCAAGCCTTGGATCCGGTGGAGAGGGTGGGAGCAAGCAACTGTGACACCAAAAAGGGAAGGGTAGCCTCCCAGGTGACCCCACTCACTTACAGCATGTGGCCTCGCTTCCCAGGAAGCCAAGGCAAAATGACTCGGCTGATCCCAGCTGGCTGTGGAAAATCTCAGCTTGTCCTTCTCCTTCACACAGCTTTGAGCAATATCCTTGACATCTCATCTTCATCTGTGAAATGGGCCTGAGGCCTGAGGCTCCTCCCCGTCTTTACTGTTATGCCAAACTGGGTGGAGCCTCGAAGACTGAATTGAAAGAAGCCTTACAGTGACAAAAGTGAATAGCAAGGAATGCTGGGTTGTTTTGTTGTGGTGGTGTTTTTTTAATTCACTATCTTAAAATCAGACAGTGTTTTAAAATCTAATTGTTATTGATGTTAGAATTTTTTAAATTATTTGTCAAGGTCCTCCCTCTTCTGATTTAGATTCTTCACAGTAGACATATTTATTCCTCCTTTATACCCCAGAGACCATCATTGTCATGGAGGTTAAACCACAGGGCTCTGCATCTTGGGGTGAGTTTTATTACAAGGGCATTTATTGAAACATCAAGGCATTTGGGAGTTCTCCTTTTTTTTCTTCCCCATGGGTCTCCTTAAGCATACTGTTTCCTATAAATGTGAATTTTAGTTAAGTTCAATGTCCAATGACAGGTTTTAAAGAGCTGCTTTATTTAAACCTACTATCAAGCCGAATAAGAATTTTCACAGGAGAAGGCAAGCTTACTTCTACATCTGCTCTGGCTGATTCTGAGCCTGTGTCTTCCCTGATGGCCCCGGACTGGCCTAGTTGAAGGGACAGATTAGAGAAAAAGACTTATCAGTCTGCCCAAACACTGCCTCATACAAGGCAATTTTAGATATTGGAACTTCATCGCCACAGAAGCAGCTAATAGTTTTGAGTTTCATACATTATTAAGTGCTTTCCTATGTATTACCTTAGTTATTAAAAAAATATTTCCAGGAAAAAAAATGGAATGTTGCCAGATTAAGGAATTTACCTGTGTTCCTGTTCCTATAATAGGCATGAACAATGACTGAATTTAAATCCAAATTGCCTCCAAGCTAAATTCTGTCCAAAGGACAACCCCCTCCCATCCTTCCCATTGTAGTCTAGGTTGTTTCTCTGGTTATGTGCTCATGGAAGATGCCTAAATGATGTAAGTCTTGTGCTGCTATTATCTAATTTGTTTTTTAAATAGCTTTAATTCATTTTCAGATTCTTCATCCCAGTTGGTGGCTTATCTTTTCATGATCACAACTGCATCTTTTAAAGAGAAGTTCTGAATCTTGATGAACTTTCATTTATCTTTACTTCCTCTGTTGGTGGGTTGTACATGTGATATATAGTCTTCGTCTAATCCTAGGTTACAAAAATGTTCTCATATATTTTCTCTTGAAAATTTTTACAACTTCTAGGTAATTGCTATTGATCTTGTGAGGTGAGGAATAAGGTTTGTTTTGTACAGGAACATCTAATTATCTTCACACCATTTGTTGAGAGCTCACTTATCTCCACTGAGCTGCCTTCGCGCTGTGTCTGTGTGTGTCTCTTGATAGCTACTCTCTTCTGTCAGCCTTCCCCTTCATCATCTTCACACCAATGCGGTAACAGCACCTTCAGTGTGTCTTCAAATCCTTCCGTGTTGCTTTCTCTTCTCCTTGAAAATGGTGTTTGCTACTCTAGGTCTTCATTTTTTATGTTTTATTTAGCTATGGATGTGATTATAAAATAACATAGAAAACTTAAAGATCATTTCACATGAAAAGATCATGTTACAAAGTTAGAAACATCTTAGCTTTGTGATTCCTCAGGAAGTAGGAACATTGGGCAGAGGATCCATTTAGTTCATCAAAGGTTGTGTGTACCCTGCATACGTTGTTTTTTTTTTAAAAAAAATACCTCAATGATAATAATTCATATTAGATCTGAATTGGCTGTAGTTCCAATATTCACTAATACTTTAGACACTGTTGGGGAGCGGTCTCTCAGTCAGTGTTTGTATCTATTGTCGTTGTCTGAGCAAAGCGCGGATTTACAGGTGAGGGGGTTGTAGCTGACTACACTGGCTGCTGTCTCCTGTGCTCTCCAGTCTGCTCTGGATTGGGGGATGGTTTTCTTCAGATTTGTGGGGAGTTCTATTTGACAGTAATGTGTGAAGCATTCTGGTATCTGTCTCTTTTATTAAAGCACAGTCTTGTTTACTGTAAGCTCACTATCTGCGGGGCACAGTGAGGAGTCATTCTTAATTAGGCCTGGGTAACACTGATGATCTTGGCCACCACTGCCACTGGGTGCTACTGAGAAAATTACCCTCATTGTTCCCTGTTTCATCTTTTGTCCAATGAAAGGCTTAAGCTAGTTAGCTTTGAGCAAACAACTCGACTCTAAAGTCTCTGATCTTCTACTATCTTTATTCACTTAAAATTGTAACCTTTATCAAAAATAAACAAAGGCTATTAATGGTATAAATCATGGTGATCACAAAAGGGAAGTTTTCCAGTTGGGCTGTCTGGTCTTTTGAGGCACTCAAACATCCCACCACCACAGCATGAGTCTCTGACTCCTAACTATGGCCAACGCTGAGTAGCTGGAGTGGCTGCAATGGCGCCTTGTGCTAGGAGAATCTATGGCCCAGGAAGCCCTCGCATTCTGAGAAGGATAAGAATGGCCACTGAACCTAGACCATTCAAAAAGCTTAGTGGTCCCTCAGGGATGGGCTAGGTTTACAAATACGTCTCCGGGGTAACAGGTACAGTATTGAAACCAAGAGCACTTAAAACATCTTCACTGTCCCCTCTATGCCAAGGTCCAGCTTTGTGCCCATATTCTGTGTCATCTTAGCTATAGTTTCAGGACAAGAAGATTGGACAGCCTGCTGCTTATCAGCCAACAAAATTGAAATGTACATGAGTTTAAAACAATATGGGACCTTGACCAAGCATCTAGTGTCTCAGTTTGCTTTCTATTGCTGTGATGAAGCCTCTGACCATGGGCCCATATGGAGAAGGAGAGGCTATTTGGCTTATGTAAGTCCCAATCACAGTCCATGAATGAGCGAAGCCAAGGCAGGGACTCAAGCATGGCAGGAACCTGGAGGCAGGAACTAAAGCCCAAACCATGGAGGAGTGTTGCTTCCTGGCTTGTTCTCTGTGGCTTTTTCAGGTTTGTGTTTTCCTTTACAAAAGCCCAGGACCACCTATGCAAAGGTGGCACTGCCCCCAGTGGACTAGGCCCGCCCACATCAATCACTAATCAAGAAAATACCTTACAGACCTGCCTACAGGACAATGTGTTGTAGGTGTGTTCTCAGTTGAAGTCCCTCTAACCAGGTGACCTGGTTGGTGTCAAGCAGCCCTGCCGTGTATCAGGTGCTGTGCCAGCTTCTCTTGCCCTGTGTTAAGGATGCCGTGGTCTTGAAAGCTGGACATCATCAACTCCTTGTTATGGAGGAGGAGATGCTGCACAATTTCTGTTAATGACCAGAGTCAGGAAATAGCAAGTGGCAAGGCTGGTCTTCATGTCTGTCTCAACCTCAAGCTTAACCTATTTGTGGCCACATCAAAGACCAGTTCTCAGTACTTAGCCAGTACATTTAGGGAATTGTTGAATTTATAGTATGAACCATAGTCCTCTAAACCAGAATAACAAGTACTGATGGATCACTTTGGGGTCAATTTGATAGAAGGAAGAATTCACAGAAGCAGTTGCTTTGAGCTATATTTTGAAATGAAGGACATGAATTACCCTGAAGAGAAAGGTGAGTTTGTGTTAAAGAGATGGATTCGATGAGGCTGTGAAAATACAAATGGTCAAATTATGTGCCCTGGAAGCAACATTAAGACATAACTCATTGCAGGGTAATAGCTAGGAATAAAACTGACGTCATAGGAATAGAATCCAAAAAATTTCAATTCTAGTGCTAGGCACTGGAGATACTCTCTCAGAATTTAAGCAAGAGGGAAACATAGTCAAAGTGACATGGGATTTGCAAGTTATCCAATAGCAGGTATAGGATCAATGGGATTTTGAGTACTTTGAAGGTCAAGGGAAAATTTCTCAGCAAAATATATTTGATATTCAAACATTATCTTCATGAACATAATGCTGTGTGAGCTTAATTGTACAATGACAGTGTATTAAGAGGCCTGAGTGCAGATTTTAGACAATTTTTGGAAATAAAGGTAACTAATCTACCGCAGTCGAACTGTATCATACCACTTCCAGCCTCATCATCACTGGTATTGTGCTGTGTGCAGAGAAGGAACCCACAGGTTAGAGATTAAACTCAGGGTTGGACAAATAGAAATCTCTTAACAATATGTATTAAATTGAGTTGAACTGAAGTCCACTTCAGAAGGCAATTACTGCTCCTGAGTGAGGGCTAATGTGTTTGGTGAATTATAGTTGGTTCTTTTCCATTATAAACTCACTAATGCTGACTAAATGTCTCTTCATATTTTTCTAAAGCATTTCTTCCTTTCTCTGTCTCTGCCTATCTCTCTCTCTCTCTTTCTTTCTCTCTCCAGTTCCAGAGGCCTAATGACTTTTCACCCCCTTTCCGCTTTGGGACTGTGCCCAATGGCAGCACAGAGAGGAATATCCGCAATAACTATGCAGAAATGCATGCCTACATGGGAAAGTTCAACCAAAGGGGTGTAGATGATGCATTGCTCTCCCTGAAAACGGGGTAAGAATGGCCTCCAAGCTCAGAGTGATATGTTTCTCACATCCATTAGTCACAGATTGAACTGGTACCATAATCATTAAATCAAAGACTGTTTCCAAGTTAAATTGGACAGCAACATTGCAACCATTGTACAAAAATTTGTATGCTGTGACTTGCTTCTATGTACCATCCTGCAAACCATTTTCTGCTTGCATGATTGTGGCCATGGAGTGGAAATGAAACAGATCAAAAAGCAGAAGGAGGGATCAAGGAGAGAGCTCACATATGTTACACATGTGCTATAGTCTAAGAGGTGAAAAAGACAGTTCTGGGGTCTATGAACAAGGGAGAAATAAAAGAGGAAGCGTGCAAACGTTTTCAGTTAACAACAAAATGTGCTGATTGAGCATTAATCCCAGCTTTGATTATCATTCCTCATAGCCCTTCTCTGTACCCTGGATGTATTTGTTCACAAACTGTCGACATACTGTCATGTAGCTCCCTGGGCACATTGTCCTTTTATTTGAAAGCCAGAGTTGTGAAAAATGGTCAACACTGGACACTGTAAATATTGAGATTTGGAGGCTAATGGATCGTATAACTGTTTCCCTTTGTTCTATGATGACTACCAGCTTGTGGACCTTGTCTGGTCACCCTTGCACCTCAAGGTCTCCAAGCACCACCCAGACATGTGGACATTTAAGATACTGTGAGATTCAATCTTACTGCTGTAAACAAAGTCACAACAGATTTCAGAAGTTGGGATCTGAAGTTAGGGTAGGAGTACTCTGGATAGTCCAAACCATGGGACACCCAGAGTTATACCAGAATGTTGGTATTTGGTCATGCTACCAACCTTTACCTGTTAAGATGCATTTTATAAAATGTCCTGTGGCTTGTCATGTCAGAAAGAGATTGTTTTTCTTGAAGAGGCACAAAGATCCCTAACTTGTAAATGTTCGGGCGGGAGCGGGGTTGCATGGTCTGCTTCCATTCAGGCCTGTTACTTGCATGGCTTCATCCGAGCTGCTTCCTCTGCCTCTAACATGTGGAAATGTTGGTTGGAAACAGTGTTGCATGCCTTCCTGCTCTCCGCCCGGATCTTTTCTACATGTCCCTTCTTTGCAGAGCCCGGTGTCTCACGGGATGTGCATGTACCCTTAGGGATTTGAATGACCTGGGTCCTTCTGTATGTCACCTTCTCTTGCAGTGTTGCACATTTGCTTTGGCACACGTTTGTGCTGTCACCACTCTGGCCCCTCGAAGCAAAGTCTCATGAGACAAGAGAATAGTGAAATCTTTCTGACTGCCAAAATAGCCATACATCTCCTGAAACATGTACACCTACACTTTCCCCCACTCCGGACTGTAATGAACTGAGAAATGAAAAACGTTATATAAGTCTTTGCCCATGCTATTTGTTATCATTGTGGTGCTTACTTTTCATTATTTGTGTTATTATTTTTATTGATTCCTTTTTACTCTTTCTTCTTTTCAGACACAGCTTATGAGTTGGCCTCAGGCCCAACTTACATTCTTACCATTCCTAGTGGGAGGGGAAAAAAATAAACAACTCTTTTCAACCTGAAGTCCCAACAAGAGCACCGCCCTGGGATGCAGGCTTTAGGCTCTGACAATAGTCTTGAGCCTCACTGTGAGCCAGTCCTCCACATAGCTTCGGGAACCCCAGCACTTCATACTAATGGCCCCATAGGTAGTTTTGGTGTGTCATTTCCTCCTTGGTATTTGTCGGTTTGTCTCTTTCCTGTGCAGGAAGCTCGATGCCTTCATCTATGATGCAGCCGTGCTCAACTACATGGCCGGAAGAGATGAAGGCTGCAAGCTGGTGACCATTGGCAGTGGCAAGGTCTTTGCTTCTACTGGCTATGGCATTGCCATCCAGAAAGATTCTGGGTGGAAGCGCCAGGTGGACCTTGCTATTCTGCAGCTATTTGGAGATGGTGAGTTAAAGAAAGGGGAAGTGTTCACTTGGTCTCAACCAATGGCCATTCTGAAATAGCAACCTCTCTTCTCTGCATATCCAAAACAGCTTGTCACAGGATGTGATAAGATTGAAGAGCACTTTTTAGATTCCTGGGGTTGCCATAACAAATGACATGAATGGAAAGACATAAACAGTAGGATTCACTGTGCTGAAGCTCTGGGCACTGTAGGTGTCAATACAGCTGTCTTTATTGGAAGTGGTGAAAGAGACTCCTCCTTATGCTTGTCCCATGACTTTTGTTACCTTGCTGGTTCTACTTGGTATTCCTTGACCTGTGAAAGCACCACTCAGACCTTTACATTCATTCTACCTGGGTGCATGTTTTTATTCTGTATTCATCTCTCTCTGAATTCACATTTTTGTTAAAGCCAATCATATGAGACTGTGTTCCAGTGTGACCTCACCATGATCAATTACATTTGCAATGACCTTATTTCCAAATAAAGCCACATCCTAAGCTACCAGAAGTTAGGAGTTCAATAAATGAATTGCAAGGAGACCCTCTTTAACCTGCATGGGGTAAAAGATGAAGGAAGAGATTAAAGTGGTTGGTGACAAGTGTACATTTGAAGATTGTGTGGTATAATGAAACCACTCAGGGATGGCGTAGGTTACAGTTAGACATTTCAGATATCACTCCACGAGTGGCCCGAAACAGAGCTGTAGGGAAGTGCTCTTTCTGTTCTCAGAGAAGTGAGTGTGTGGCTGTTTCCTCATCCTTCACTCTGTTCTGCCTTGATCATTATTGCTGAAGAGGCAGAGGGAAATGTAGATACCAAAAGGTGCTTTACTGTGTCTTTCCAGTGGTGGACTGAACACTGAAAAAATTTAGTTCATTAAACTACTATCTTCTGAATTTCTCTTCACTTCATTATCCAAAGCACTGACTCTTCCCACCAGTCCTCACACACAAGCTAATCCAGAGACAGATGGGCCTCACTCTGCATGGTCCCCTTGCCCATCAGCCATGTGGGTTTATTGTGGCTGTAGGACCTTTTCTGTTGGGAAAGACATCAGAGACAATCCCAGAGATAGGTTTCCAGACTCCAGCTGCATCTGGCTGCTGCACTACTTAGGAAAAGCATTGTTGAATTGAAGAAGAAAGAAATAAAAGTGAGTGGAGTCCCATCAGGAAGAGTAGAGGTTTTATAGCTGCAACCTCGACAAACCATGTTGGTATAACTAATAGTCACAGCCAAATGGATCCTTATTCTATGACCAAGTCCATCAATAGAGAGGACTTTGGCCTTCACTGGGCCATACAAAGTTCAAACTTTTGTCCAAACCTGAATTGACAGACCAGTTTCCTTCATGAGATTTCTAGAATTTCATGTGTGTGGAATTAGTGACATTCTAGGGTACATGATTTTTATTTATTTATTTATTTATTTATTTATTTATTTATTTATTTATTTATTTATTTATTTATTTTGGTCTAAGATTTCTACATTTCTGCTGACTAATTTTCAGTGATAGTAGATAAAAGTCATTGAGATCTGACAGAACTGATGTAATCAATGCTCCCTTAATCAGGGTGGAGAAGAAGCAGGTTCTACTAGAGTGGTCTTGTTTCATTTCAGCTTACTCCTCTTTTGCTTTTCATATTTTCTCTATAAGAGATGTGTAATTCTGAGAGACCATAGGGATTCAACCCTTCTCCAATCTCTTTCAACTTCTTCCCCAATCTAATCTGCTCTGTATAATCCCAACATTCTTACCCATTGATTATGTTATCCCCAGTGTCTATAAAATAAAGGACAGAATGTTTAACCTCAGAATCCTTGCATTAATTGTTTTATTAAGCTTTCTTACTGAGGGTCATTCTGTTTGAACTGTTTTTCTTGCCTCTCCTTAAATGAGTCTCTGTTTCCCCACCCCTTCCTCATTGAGTATGGGATTCCCACATTCTGGAATGATTTATGTACAATAAAAATTAAAATCCATTCCCACTCTCAAGTCCTCCCCGCTCCCTGCTTTCTCCCATTGACCACTTTGTCTATGAGCCGTTGTTACTGATTAAAACTCTTGTTCTTTGCATAGCATATTGCACATGATAGCCAGCATTGAGCTGCCAATTTACACTGGATAAAGGAGAGCCACAGGGAAGTTCCATGTGTTGTGTCACCCATAGTTCATTCATTACATTTTCACTGAATACTTAGGGATATATTGGTGAGTTGAGATGTAATGGTGTTAATAAAAAGTATTAATTTTCTCTCTCTGTGTTTGTCTCTTTCTGTCATATTTTTATGCCCTTCAACTTTCTTCCTACTTTGTCTCATCTCTCCTCCTTCTTTCCCCCCTTTATCTGTCTCCATCCCTGCCCTTTTTCTAGGGGAGATGGAAGAACTGGAAGCTCTCTGGCTCACTGGCATTTGCCACAATGAGAAGAATGAGGTTATGAGCAGCCAGCTGGACATCGACAACATGGCAGGCGTCTTCTATATGCTGGGGGCAGCTATGGCTCTCAGCCTCATCACCTTCATCTGTGAACATCTGTTCTATTGGCAGTTCCGACATTGTTTCATGGGTGTCTGTTCTGGCAAGCCTGGCATGGTCTTCTCCATCAGCAGAGTAAGTGTTTTGATTTAAGTACCCAGAGCTTGTTAAGGATGGTTTAGCCTTGTTCTGTGCCAAGCGGAGAGGCCCAATAGAGTGTTAGCTCCAGCCTTATGTAGCTAAAGCATGAAACCACATCATGTGCACTTCTCCAGGAGTCTGTGGGAAAGAAATTCAAGTGTTTTTAAAAGGGGTGATGCTATGTTTCCTTCCATTTGAGTCTCAGACATTTGATTCTCAATTTTAAAAAAGGGTAGATCTCTCAAAATAGAAGATTTGACTTTTCCCCATTTGCCTCTTACATCACCATTAATTGATTCTGTATAGGCTGCATTAATCTCTTGATCCTTAAATAATAGGGTGTGATATCTCTTATTCTAACACACAAAGGCATATTACTGGTGGTTTTACTGTTCTCATATTTTAACTACATGTGAGATGTGGAGAATTAAAGAGCCTAAAGGTTGGATGTGGTGGCACATACCTACAATACCAACACTGGGAGACTGAGACAAGAGGATCGTGTGTGTGTGTGTGTGTGTCTGTGTGTGTGTGTGTGTGTTACAGATACATAACATTTTAAAAAGCCTAACAGAACCCAAGTCTTGACTCATAAGAAACTTATATTCCAAAAACTTACTTAACTGGGGCAAGACTTCAGGCTAAGTTAGAGATCTTCTTCATCTCTAGGTCAGAGTGAGGTACTGGGGAAATAATTGGGTTTAGAGATCTTCATTTTGAGTTCAGAGTGGGATGTTGGGGAAATAGTTGAGTATATGAACCTCAGGTCACAGAGGGAAATTTTTTAAAGAGTAGGATTCTCTGATGTTATTAATGCAGTTGTAGGACTCTCACATGAGTAGTGAACTCAAATGACCCTTTAAAGTTGAGGATTGTGTGTTCCATATGTGACCAACCTTGACTCAAATGGAGTTATGAAAGAAATGGATTTCTCATTAAATTGTTTCATTCTCTGGTCATTTTCCTGCCATGTTTTAGTGACAGGGAGCAATTCTCTACTTCCTCTCTAGCTGTCAGTTAATGCAGGTCATTTAGTCACATAAAAACAAGAGAAGGGAATTTGTGGGACTCTTGGTCCCTGGGCCCCTGGTTCCACTGTGTAGCCCTTCCCAGAGGCCACAGGAGCAACAGAAAAGAGAAATCTCAGCCATGGCCCTGTGACAAGACCACTGTCTTCACCAAGGAGGACACTTAGCATTTCCTCCTGGCCACTGTCCAGAGGTCAGAAGTGAGAAGCAGAAAGAGAGTAGAATCCCCAGATCTTGTCTCCCAAACTCTGACACCTCTTTGCCACATAACCGCCATTTTCCTTCTCACCGTTTCTTCTCTCCACCCTGCCCATCCAGATAAGATTCCTTTCCAAACAAACCTTCTTAGAGGTGAGGATGCAGTTTAGAGCCCTTCTCCACATTCCTTCTCTTGTCAGGAACAAAACCCCACGTCTGCTCACCTTTCACGGCAGCACAGGAGAGGTGTGCAGTTGGGTGAACTGACTTTAGACATGGGAAGACTGGTGACCCAGGAAAACAACCCATCTTTTCTCATGGATGATGTCCTCCAGTGCCCTGAACAAGTAGCTATATACCTATACACAGGGTATTCTTCATCAATACTAACTTGATAGAACATTAATTAATTATGATAATACTTAATATAAGAAGGAAACTAAGAGTTAAAGAGTGAATAAAGGAGAGACCTCAACAAGGGAGTTATTTATTCATATCAAGCTCTTGATATTTGTCCCAATTCTTCCCTCCCACAGTGTAGGCCACAGCAGTAGCAAATCCTTCTTTGACCCCAGGGCTTTCTAATTCTCTGTGTGAATTTAGTTCATGCTTAGCTACAAAACAGCATTGTTCCCTTGTTATTTGCTGACCAAAATTCTAAAAGCTGCTCAAAATGGTCAGAGCTAGAAACAAGAGGCAATTGTGAGCAACTTCAGCCAGCAGTGGCCAACCAGAGCAAAAGGGCCCCAGCATCTGTGCTGAGATGCCTTGTGCTTCCAAGAATCTGCTCATAATTTGCCATATGTTTACGGCATGGATTCTTTTATAAAATGTAAAAATCTGGGGATAGGAAGGAAAACCAAGACAGATCATGTTTGGAGTTGAAGCACAAATACCATGTTATCTGTTTATTCAAGTCCTTTGGTATGACCATTCTCCTCTCTGATGGACAGGATTTTGCTAAATTCAAGGGGTTACTTCAGCCAAGCTCCGAGTCACATTTTCTGTGAGTGTAGCACACTGCCTGTCTCATGGTTCTCCCGTCTTTGTCTTCTCCCATTCGACCATCAGTGGTGGGGCACTGTTGTCTATGCTGTGTTCCATTTCTCGGAACTCAATGTGTACCATCCTCTGTCCCCTCAGGGCATCTACAGCTGCATCCATGGAGTAGCTATAGAGGAGCGCCAATCTGTGATGAACTCCCCCACCGCTACCATGAACAACACACACTCCAACATCCTGCGCCTGCTCCGCACAGCCAAGAACATGGCCAACCTGTCTGGAGTAAACGGCTCCCCTCAGAGTGCCCTGGACTTCATCCGGCGAGAGTCCTCTGTCTATGACATCTCTGAGCATCGCCGCAGCTTCACCCATTCAGATTGCAAGTCTTACAACAACCCGCCCTGTGAGGAAAACCTATTCAGTGACTACATTAGCGAGGTGGAGAGGACATTCGGTAACCTGCAGCTGAAGGACAGCAACGTGTACCAAGACCACTATCACCATCACCACCGACCACACAGCATTGGCAGCACCAGCTCCATTGACGGGCTCTACGACTGTGACAACCCACCCTTTACCACCCAGCCCCGGTCAATCAGCAAGAAACCCCTGGACATCGGCCTGCCCTCCTCCAAACACAGCCAGCTCAGTGACCTGTATGGCAAATTCTCCTTCAAGAGTGACCGCTACAGTGGCCATGATGATTTGATTCGATCGGATGTCTCGGACATCTCCACACACACTGTCACCTATGGAAACATCGAGGGTAACGCAGCCAAGAGGAGGAAGCAGCAATACAAGGACAGTCTGAAGAAGCGGCCAGCCTCGGCCAAGTCTAGGCGGGAGTTTGATGAAATTGAGCTGGCCTACCGTCGCCGACCACCCCGCTCCCCGGACCACAAGCGCTACTTCAGGGACAAAGAAGGGCTGCGAGACTTCTACCTGGACCAGTTCCGAACAAAGGAGAACTCGCCTCACTGGGAGCATGTGGACTTGACCGACATTTACAAAGAACGGAGTGATGACTTCAAGCGAGATTCGGTCAGTGGAGGTGGGCCCTGTACCAACAGGTCTCACCTCAAACATGGAACAGGTGATAAACATGGCGTGGTAGGTGGGGTGCCAGCTCCTTGGGAGAAGAATCTGACCAATGTAGATTGGGAGGACCGGTCTGGGGGCAACTTCTGCCGCAGCTGTCCCTCCAAGCTTCACAATTATTCCTCTACAGTGGCAGGGCAGAACTCGGGACGGCAGGCCTGCATCAGGTGTGAGGCCTGCAAGAAGGCTGGTAACCTGTACGACATCAGCGAGGACAACTCCCTGCAGGAACTGGACCAGCCAGCTGCCCCCGTGGCTGTGACATCCAATGCCTCCACCACCAAGTACCCTCAAAGCCCGACCAATTCCAAGGCCCAGAAGAAGAATCGGAACAAACTACGCCGGCAGCACTCTTACGACACCTTCGTGGACCTGCAGAAGGAGGAGGCCGCCTTGGCCCCGCGCAGCGTGAGCCTGAAAGACAAGGGCCGATTCATGGATGGGAGCCCCTACGCCCACATGTTTGAGATGCCAGCTGGTGAGAGTTCCTTTGCCAACAACAAGTCCTCAGTGCCCACTGCCGGACACCACCACAACAATCCTGGCGGCGGCTACATGCTCAGCAAGTCGCTCTACCCTGACCGGGTCACGCAAAACCCTTTCATCCCCACTTTTGGGGATGACCAGTGCTTGCTTCACGGCAGCAAATCCTACTTCTTCAGGCAGCCCACGGTGGCAGGGGCATCGAAAACAAGGCCGGACTTCCGGGCCCTTGTCACCAATAAGCCCGTGGTGTCGGCCCTTCATGGGGCTGTGCCTGCTCGTTTCCAGAAGGACATTTGTATAGGGAACCAGTCCAACCCCTGTGTGCCTAACAACAAAAACCCCAGGGCTTTCAATGGCTCCAGCAATGGACATGTTTATGAGAAACTTTCTAGTATTGAGTCTGATGTCTGAGTGAGGGAAGAGAGAGAGAGAGGTTAAGGTGGGTACGGGAGGGATAGGGCTGTGGGCCGCGTGGTGCGCATGTCATGGAAAGAGTTGGGGGTGAACTTGGCTCCCATTTGCTTTTTCTTGTTCTTTTCATTTCTCTATGGGATCCTGGAGTTCTGGTTCCTACTGAAGGCAACCCTCGTGGCCAGCACCGTTCCTCCTCCCTCGCACAGTTCTCTTCCCCCGCATCTGTCCACCATCCCTGTTCCCCTGAGAGGATAGAACTGGCCTCAGTGTGGGAGGATGGAGAGGCGACAGGAAGGGCTGCCTGTGTGCTTCTTCCTAGTGTGGAAGTTCTCTGAGCACTATGAGGGAGGCTTTCCTGAAACTGCTCTTTGTTCAGGCGAGGAAGTGAAGGTATCCTAAGGAAGGCCATTGGGCCTCCTGCTCAGAAGAGAGAAGAGGCTTTTTGCTGAATTCTTGCTGCATGGTTGGCAGCTGCCTAGGGGCCCTGTAACAAGCAGAGGGCAGGAAGTTCTTCTGTGCTTATATATAAGCCAAATAAAAAGTTTGCTTCAGCTCCATCAAACTCTTTGGTGGTAAACCAAGAGGGGAAGGCCATTGGAAGATGAGGGATTCCTGAGCGAATTGGAGAGTGCACTGCAATAGTGCCCTAGGGTGCATTGGAGGCAAAATAGGGCATTGTGTGTGCACAGATGTCCACGTGCACCTGCCCTCTCCTGTAGTCAGGTGCCTCTGAATATACAGAAGGGAGCCTTGATGCACCACTTCTGCCCACATGCTTAAGTAATGTGCTTGCTTTGGCTTATATATAAACTGATGTCATAAGTGACCTGACTTTGGGCTATCTCTTCCTTTTCCCTTCTTGAGAGAGGACGGAGGTTCTTGACAAAGAAGATTCTATATTGTAGGGGGGAAATGACAGAGGAAAATGGTAGGCACTGAGACAACCCTACAAACTAGATTGTCAGTGTTGCCTGCAGTTTCTATCACCTTGGACAAAGAACTTTCCAGTAAGGCTTAAGGGAAATCGAAGCAGCCATGAATCTTTTATCCAGACTCAGAGCAGAACATTCTAGAAAACTCTTTTAGGCATTTAGCCCCTTGCCTGGCTGAGGTTTGAGGAAGAACTCTCCACAGAAGGCTTTGAAGGAGAGAATTATTTACAGTAGGGTAAGTGAGAGAGGGGGATGTTTCCAATGCTTTGATCCCTTCTTACTTAACCTAGAGCCGAAAGAGTAGGCAGATTCCCCCAGAACTGATGATGAGTGACAGGGGACAGACGAAGGAGAGAAGTGAGCTTGTCCTCAAGGGAAGCCGGAGAGAATGAAGGAGATTTGGAATATGACTTGAACTAATGAGATCACTCCTGATAGAACCTTTCTTTTCTGCAACCCCCAGTTCCCTCTCAGATTATACCACTCAACAGTAAATGTGCGTGTGCATGTGTGTGTGTGAGAGAGAGAGTGTGTGTATGAGTGAGTGTGTACGTGAGTGTGTGTATGGAAAACTCCAGGGATGGGGGTGCTGGCAGGTGTGATGCCCCCTCACTTTAAGTTGGAAATTTAAAAAGGGAAATGAATATTTGTGTCGCTGCCTGGAACTTGGGGTAGGGGTGTTCTATGGGTCAGTTCCACTGTCCTGCCGTCCCTTCACACACGGTGGCATCCAAAGAGCCCTGGGTCTGTTTGGAAGCTTGACTGCAGGACCGCCTTGTCGCACACAGGACACATAAACCAGAAAGGTGCTCATCCTCCTCTGGAACGAAGCTGCCATGTCTCTTCACGCCACACCCTCCAGGGCTGCTCTTTGCCTTCCTGGTCGCCCTGCCTCACGACCTTCCCTCATCTCCCATCCTCGACTGCTGTCTCCCACCTCCCTCCTTGATTTTTTACCTCAGTATCTTTCATTTAAAAGTCAACTGGAGGCCTTGTTTTCTTTCTAAAATGAACGTGGGGGCAAGGGGCTGAACCTCTCAACAGTTTGGAGACAGGAGCGTGGAGTGCTTTACTTTAGGTACCAGGAAAGACTCTGAGAGAGGACCGAGGGAGTGAGGCGACTCCCAGAGGAAGGAGAAGGGCCATAGAAACATTGCTTCACTCTGGCTCTGTCCAAGGGCCAGGGGCTCATCCCTCACCCTTCCTCTTACCTCACCCCTTTAAAATTAAAAAAAGAAAAAAAAAAACCAAACCAACTAACCTAGCGAACAGCAATCTAGAAAGCAGGGGGCTCTGGTGGTCTCCACTGGCCACAGAAATCAAGATGGTGTTTATTTCAGATGTAAATATTTTGTTTTATAATTAATTTTGTATAGATAAAGTGTTCTCCTGTGAGTATTCAGGGTGTTGAGCTGGAGGGAGCGGGGTGGGGATGGGAATGAGGGGGGAATTATTTCGTTACGGGTTTTCATTTTCTGTTGGGAGGAATTGTTTGTATGGCCTTTGCTTCAGAGTGTCTGGAAAAAGTTAATGGGAACAGAAGCCACAATGGTGAACAAGCCAGGGGAAAGTCATTTATGTCCATGCCCCATCTCCAAAACCTGTCTTCCTGCTGGTTTGTGAGAAGTGATCATGTACTTTGGCCTGAGTTTTGCAGGGTCCAAATCAGCACTAAGTAAAACTTGGCCTGCCTCTTGTCTTCTAGGGAGACCATAGGACACCATCACTCTGTCAAAGACAAACTGGTGGCATATGATTTTTCCTTGTCAGTACCTGGGCTTGCAAAGGTTCCCCAAAGGGCTTGAAAAAGAATTGAGGTCCAGTTACCTCCCATTCTTGACGTGGCTGAGAGGTTTCCAGAAGCTAGATTCTGAGAAATCTCACAGCAGCCTTCTCTGATGCTTAACCATCATCCTACCATTCTGATACATCATGCTCTAGAACCTGACCACCCCATCCCCCTATCTGTGCCCACCTATAGAAATGACCACTTCAGGCACACCCAAGAAATACCACAAATTCTGCCTCAGCATGTGGTTTCAGGCTGTACAGGGATAGCAATGGATACAAGAGGTCTTAGAGATTTACATGCTTTTCTAGAAAAGGTCACCAGATCCCCTCAAAACTCATTAGCCTAGCAAGGAAGCTAAAATCAGTTTCAAAGGAGGGAAAGTGGCTATGTGAGGGACAGTACCAATGGTGGCTTTATAGTTGCCTTGTTCTTACTGCCATCAGGAGGGTGCTATTTTGTTCAAGTTCGGTGTCTCAAATCTGATTTGAGATTAACCAGACAAATAAAATCTCTCTCACTGGATTGTTGGCTTTGTGAAAGATAGCAACAGTCTCTCTCTCTCTCTCTCTCTCTCTCTCTCTCTCTCTCTCTCTCTCATTCACTCTCACTCTCTCATTCTTAAATTGATATTTCCCCCCTATCCTCCCACCCCCAGAGGCTGCCAGAGAGATAACTTAACTATTCTAAACCCCTCATTTGGCCTCAATTGACCATCTTTCTCCAACTGGGTTCTTGAATTGGGACCAAAGTAAGATATTCAAGGCCTGCTCTAGAAAGAATAAGGATATGATGAAGTCTGTCAAGTTTTATATGTGAAATTCCATAATAGCAAGTCAGTTGAATACATAAGGAAGAATCCAGCAGCTGTTCCCATCTCCCATCTCTGATGGATCTGGACCAAGACTCAATCCATCCAAAACTGTGAGGTTCTGCAGAGCCCTGAGGAGCATCTTGTGTTCCACGGTGTCCTTCAGAATCCATGCTTTCTTTCACAAGTGCTCCCTCCCATTGTGGAGGTGGGTTGATGGATGTGGTCCCGTATCACTCTTCTTAGTGGCAAGGCTGACACGTCAGCATGTCCAGTGACCTCAACAATCTGACCCTTGAATTTGCCTGAATGAAGATGTGCACACCCTTTCAGAGTGCTGCATGTACATGGGCCTTGTTATTTCCAAGTTGTCACTGTGTATCCTCAGCCAGAACTTGGGAGAACATCCTTCATGTGTATTCCCTGGTACTGGCCACAGCCATTTTGTGATTGGGGACAAAAAGTCCCAGATGATCCCATTAAATGTTGGTGGTGTCAGTAGTGCCCAAACGCATGTGTAAAATAGGAGTCCTCTATACAGTGACGTGAATATCACTTGCCCAGTCTTCCATGGCCATCAGGAATTGCCCCAGGGAGATTTCTCTGCAGAGTGCTGGTCACCTGCACCTCTCATTTAAGAGCTAGGGTTTCTTTTTGTTTTTTTGTTTTTTGTTTTGTTTTGTTTTTTGTTTTTAATTAGTTCAAGATTTAGAGAAAGATTAACTGGAATGTTTGGGCAAAAGCCTTTGGAAAAGCTATTCCTGAACTCACTTTATTAATGTTTTTTTTGATCGCCATCTCTGAAAAGGCCCTGTCCTTGCTTGGCACCCTGTGTGAGTCTGCTTTGGTGTGCTAGGAGTGATTCAGATGTGTGCATAAATGATGCAATGGCAGCTTATTTGGTGAATGTGGTCGGTGTTTCTGGGCATTGTGGCCATACTATCTGTTCCCAAAGCCATATAGAAAATGTGTGATCCGGAGGCTGCTGAAACACTATGGTATTGTTGCCTTCGCTTTCTTCACCTTGATATCAGAGAGCGTTCTTGCTGTCTGAGGAGTTCTTTAGGGGCAAGAAGCACCCTGGGCAGCTCTGTCCCACTGGAGTGGCTCTGGCCTCACCAATGGCAAATGGCCTGTGACTTGCTTTCCAGATCCTGAAAGAGCCCACCAACTGTTAGCTTCCCAGGCAGATTTACTCCATTAGGGCTGAGCTGTCCATCTGCTGTTGAAATGAAATCATTCCCAGGAAGAGTGACACACTAAGCCATATTAGGGATTTATACATTTAAACACCTAATCTACATTAGGATTTTCATTCCTTTTCCTGGGAATAAGTACAATAACGCAGCAGGAGAAAGCAACACGGGCATCCTGAGCAGCAGGACAGGGAGAAAGGATAAAGGGTCCAGAAGACTAGTCATTTAAGCCGCGCTCCGTCTCTACCTGTGTAGTGAAGACCCATGGGGACCCTGGATTAGGAGTTCTACCTGTTGTTTATTTTCAGCACACAGTCACATACATAGTTTATAGATAGCTAAATTCTACACTGTATAGGGCAGGTAAGAATTGTGACCCAGGAAACAAAAGACAGGCACCTTTCCTCAAATGCAGGATGCTGAGCGGAGAGTGGCAAAGAAAAATGTCCATTCATATTTAGTATATAATCTGTTAGTATGTTATAAAAAGCATGCATTATCTGTTCTCTGTTCTAGGCCAAGTAATCTGCCAGTTCACTGATTTGCCTGCAATCTAAACATGCCTAGTCTCCTTTCCCATAGTCTCTGTGAGGGAGCCAGTTGACCCTCTGGTACTGTTGAACCTGGGGGCTTATGTTACGGTTGGGTCAATGTTAAAATGCTCATTTGTCATCCTGAGAATTTGTAACATTGATCTGAGTCTAGAAGTCCATCAAGTTTGGGGAGGCAGCCATATGTAAGGCCACGGGCTGAATGAACACATCCTACCCTCATCCCGTTCTCACATTTGCTCAGTCACATGAGGTCCCTGTGAGTTCTGTGGCCTGGATGTAAGCTATCTGCTCCCACAAGACAGCCTCTGTCAAAGCCTTGAGTGAAAGTCCATGCTTTTCCCATGCCTCGAAGAGACTGGTGACATTCAGGTGCTCTAGGTAGCAGTACAGAAGCAAGGAGAAAGAACTTTGCTCAGAGGGTATTGGGTTACCCTAGCAATGCTGGAAATGGGTGGAAAATGGTAGGAACCTGGTGTATTTCGCTGCCGCGGTATCCTTGTTCAGTGATGTCAGAGCTAATCATTGTGAGCTGCTGGTGATGTTCCATATCCTGCATCTGCTGGTGTGACTGGGGCTGGCAGTGCCAATGGGAACTGAGAATGAAAAGTAGAGTGGACGGGAGAGTTCCTCACAGCCTTGGGATGCTGGTGTACAGAATCTGCTTTGGCAAATTCTGAAGTGGCACTTGGTGCAAAGATCAAGTTACAGTGAAGAAGCACAATTCTAAGCCCATTACAAAACTATTATTTTAAAGCTATGACTTCCAACCTGAACTCTGTTTGTCAATTAATAGTTATTTTAAGGTTGTGAGTTAAATGGTGGTACAGAAAAAAAAATAAATTAAAAAGCTCTACATAAATATGTTAGTTCAATTAAACCAATATCTGTTGAGCATTTACTATGTCCTTAAGCTAGTGCTGAGAAATATTTTAAAGATTTTAAAATGGAGTATGTTATACTCATGTAGGATACTCAAATGCATAAGTATAAAATATTTAAATCTATGTATTATGTATATATTAATAGGCTTACATAAATTTCTGTGATTCCTCATATAGGTTTAATATTTTCAGGTTTCAGGATTTGAATCAAAGATATCCATTATGTTATTGAAGAATACCACAGACATTCAGCTCTCCACATCAGAGCCAAGTCTTGACCACTTCTGGAATTATTACACATTCTAAGCTAACACTCAGAGATTCCCTCTCAGGTCACAGCCTTGCATTTCCTTCACTCATCTTTGCTAGCTTCTCAGCCAAGTACTCTTTGTCTGTGTGTGCCAAACTCCCCTTTGAGATCTGAGGTACACTTCAAACAACAGGACTTCTCTCTGTCACAACTTTACTCCCTTGTACCCAGCTGCCTGTGTTCCTCTCCAAACAAAATCTGGCAACATCTGTAGGAACAAATCTCTCCATTCAATTAGAGCCTTGAATCCCTGTCTATCTCTGTTTATCTTTGCTCTCCCAGCCTTCTCAAGTGGATAGAATTTCTTCATATCCATACCCAATGCTTACAGATTTGCAATGTGTCTAATCTGCTACTCACCTACAAATTCCAAACAGCAATATTTCAATGAGTGTCTTGCTACAAACCCAACAGCATTTTTGTTCCCCTGACATTCACCCTTAGATGTTCACCTGAGCTACCTTTTGGGAGGTGGTACAATACTGATTTGGATCTTACCTCTCACGTCCTCTATGACCTCACTGACTTCTGCTTTTGCAACTGTCCATGGTAATTCCTCATGATCTTTCTGACTTCCACAACATTTATGGCTCTGAGTGGAGATGAATTTCAAATCTTCGCTCCTAAACCCTAATTTTCTCTTCAACTTAATGCATATATTTCTGATCACCTCACTTCAGATTGACCTGAATACCCCCATCTGCCTCTGCAAATTGACTTAATTAGCAAATTCTCCTTCTGACTAGTGGGGCCATTGCTCTCCTGTAACCACACTAAAGTTTTACCAGGAATTTTTGCCTCCCTCATGTCCCTGGTTTTGCACATATAATCATTTGGAAAACCTATTTATTGTCACTCTAAAGTTTCTCTGCCTCCCTTTTCATTCAAGCTCTTCCCTCCCATTGATTATTTCAGTGTTGCATATCATTGTTCCAAGAGTTCATATTTCAGTCTGCTCTCATCAGCTTGTTTCCTAACTATAGTTACTTCATGTCATCCCTAACCTCAGAAGACAAGTCTTTAATGAGCTCCCCTTGCCGTGACTTTCTAGCAAGTAGAACCTTAGCTCATGCTCTTTGTCACAGGACAGTTAAATTACATACTTGTCCCTTAACATTCCTTACCCAGCTAGATTTACTTGTATCTAAAACTTTTCTCTTTTCCCAAAATGTCCTGCTCTGAACTGTCATCTCCCAACTTTCTTGCATAATCCACTCCCTCTATACAAGTCTTCAAAGACAATAACATAACTACAGCATCTATTTTCCTTCACAATCTGTGCAGGGGAAAAAAATCAGGCATTTTACAAATGCCCATGACACTTTAATCTTATCTCCTAGGTGGCAACTGTCAGAGACCATCTTCATAATTATTTTATTGTGCATGTTATCTTCCCTCTTAGATTCAAAACAGGCCATACATTTACTAATCTTTATTTCCTCCATCACCTAACAGGGTGTCTTGTACATGAAGGGCACTAGTGAATATTTGATATTATAAATAAAAATAGAAAAGGAGTTCACTTATTTTACCCATAGGATCCTTAAATCTGCAGGAATACCTAAGGATGAGTTCTTCCCCCTACCAGCCCCATGTTTCTCTTCTTCTCCAGACACAGACTCAGTAATGCACTAACAGGGCATGTGTGCATTTCCGTGTTTCCAATGTGAATTTGTATTTTTCCAAGTTATACTTCATTCTCTGAAGTCCTTCTTTGACTACTTTATGGGTATTACTGTGTCCCCACAGTGATGAGTGCACACAAGGTAAATGTAGGAGGATCAACTGTGAAGGATAGTCATCAAATGTGAGGTATCAGGATCATCCAGATGCTGTGAGAAGAGATGATTCTAGACACATTGCTGTCCTGAATTAGTCTTGCATGACCTATGCTCAGATTGACAGTTCTTTATTCCAAGAGTTAGATAGTTTGGGTCATTTAGATATTTTCACTAACAGAAGGGTCTTATTGCAATGCAAGCTTACTAATCACACAGTCTTGTGACTCTCAGGAAGTGATCCAACAGGACCAGTGGATTTCACTGAATGCTGAAAGTTTACACCTTAGTAGGCCAGATGTTGGGTCAGGGGCTGTATGTTCTGCTTATGCCCTTGTCTTAATGGTGTTTCTTTCCTCACCCTTTCTGATGCTTTATGACATTGAGTTCTTAAACAGATCACCTCTGACATATACCTCAAGAGAAAATACACCAAAGTTTCAATGACTTGGTTGAGAGAGAATTGTAATGTCTCAATTCCTCTTTTCTCTGTAATTATGATTGGACTCATTGCCCTAGAGGAAAGAGTATTGCTTCTGGCCTGATGGCCTCTTGTTCTCTGTTCTTCATGCAGCCTTCACTTTTTCCCTTGGTTCCTTGGTTCTCTTAACATGTCTCACCTGTTTGTTCTAGTTAGTGTCTATCTCCGTCTCTGGAGAAAATCTTGGGCTAGTCCTGTCCTTTTGCTTAAGCTGCTCTAGTACCAGATAATGCTCTCTTCCTTCCTCCTGGCCAGCCTCCTCTATAAATCTCATGATGTCATTGGTCATGAATTATTCTCCTTTGGGAGGCATCTTCTGCCACTGAGTGCTAATTTAAAGCATACTGTAGTGAACCTAACTCAAATACGCTACAGGCAATGACAAGTTTGCTTTTCAAAAATGCAGGCTGAGTTCATTCTTCATCAAGACAGGAAGGGGTAGAAAATTATTATTGGCAAGCTGGGGTAAAACTTGTGACAATTTAGGAGGTATCTAGTAAAAATTAAAATGTTAAGTCTAAAGGGATGTTTTTTTTTTTCAGTTTTAATAGTTGTAGATAGTATTGATCCTAGCAATGGGGATAATTAACATTTTAGAGCAAAGTCCATCTCATGATAATAGGAGACACTTATTTTAAGCAGGGAAACAGACTGGCATTAACTAGTGGATGTGTTGAGAGGATGCTGTTCTTTCAAAGAAGGCATCCATGAAATTCTGATGAACCGTGAATGGACCAACATCGTATGGTTTTACATGGTTATTTTCTTTTATATCTTATTGTACTCTATTTTTTTACTTACCAGTACCTGTAAAGGATGATGAAGGCAAAGAATAAGAGGCCCACACTAAGACTTCCCTTCATGTCACAAGTAGAGCTGGGGGCTTTGGTCCCTAACTTTGAGGGCCCCTTCAGGAAGAAGAAAACCCCCAAAGGACCAGACTTGAGGCTGATAGCCTCCCAGAGTCCCATTCCTTTGACCACAGCCAATTTGCAAAACCTCAGCATTGGAGCATGATTTCCAGGTGTCTTCCAGATGAGGACAGAATTGTCCTTTTTGCTTACCCCGTTTGGTTGTAACCTGAGAGGCAGAAGCAAGGCAGATTAGAAATGAGGGGCATTGCAAAGCATTTTTCAAGGGCCCATTTCAAAGTTCTTGGGGACTTTAGGCTGTTTGATCAAGTGCTAGAAATTCCAGGGGAGGTGTCCAGAAAGAACGCTGACCCTGCAGTAAGGGAGCTGGACCCAGCCTCATCTGTGAGGTCCTAAATGCTTACAGAAAGTCTGGTCACACGGCATCCCTGAGTCAGCGTCCTAGTCCCTTGGAAGACACCCAGAGAGCTGTTGATCACCACCCTGGGCAAAGAGGGTACAGCTTGTTCTACCAGCCTAGCTATAGAATGTTAACCTTCATGAATCTGTCCACTCTCTGCAGGAGGAGGCTCACAGTGCTAGCATTGGACAGGATCAGAGCTGCAGGGAATGTGGTCCCAGGAATGTGAAAGTGTGTTGTGGCTTACTTCCTTCAGACAATGATACTACTTGTTTCCAAAAGGGATTCTTTTTTCTTTAAAAAACAAAACAAACAAACAAAAAGCTATGTCTTCCTGAAACTTCAGAATAGTCTGTGTAGCTGCCATCACCACATTTTAATTGTAATTATTTAATTAAATTATCAATAACCATTTTCTTTTGAAATCAGGGCTATTTTAATGTTCCCTTTGGATGTGCTAAGAAGCATTGGCAAGCAAGAGACTACACCACTTGGTTGTCTCGGTCTGAGTTGTGTTTTCAGTCTTATAAATAGATATCATGTTCTTCACACAGTTCCATGCATTAAATGATCCCTTTGCCATGAGTATCCTCACATTTGTGTTTCTATCCACCACCCCTCAAACACACACATATGTACACACATGCACACACACATACACAATATTATGATGAGAAGTTGAGATACATACAGAACATTAATGTGTACATGATAGTGAATTTTTCTAAACAAGAGCCTGACCAGTATAATTCTATTAACACCCCCACTCTGTACATTGATGACCAAGATGTACATAACTTGGCATCTTGAACCAGCAGAAAAAAATCATTTTGTCACAGTCCTTGAGAATCATAGACGTTTTAAATGCCCAGGGCAATGAGTTCAGTTATGTCTCAGGCAAAAGAAATGGATCACTAAGACAGGTGAAGGGCCAACACTTCAGCATTCTTAGTTCATGCCACAAAGAAGGTCCAGAGCACTTGCAGTTCCTAGGATGATGCCACTTGTCTTTTTGGAGAAGGATGGTGTTTGTGAAGTCAAAAGTAACTCACTTGGATCTTTACCATTTTTGGCTCCTGGTGTGGATATGGGCTAATTTACCATCACCGTTTCTCCTGATAGCCTCCTTGACAGGGTCACGTGATGGATTTGGTTGTACAGATGAACACACAGAAGCACAGATGCACTAGTAAAGTCAAAGCTTCCATTGCAAACTGTCTGTACTTTGTACCACAGGCTATCTCATGTACCCTAGGCTATCTCAGAAAGTCATACTGCATGAACTCTCCCACCCCAAGTTTTTAATACCTAATAGTGGAAGAAAGTCATGAAATCCAGGCAACTTGTTTAACCAAACCGTTTGCACAAAATTCATCTTCCCAGATCCCCACCCTGCCCATCTCCCATAATGCATCAGTCTACAGAAATCAATCAAATGGTGGAACAAAGCAGGAATCTGCAAAACAAAGATAGAAAAGTCTCTGTAATGAAGGAAATTTGAAGAGCAAATCAAAGTGTTTGAATTTTGTAAGGTAAGACATGGGGGATAACTTTTATTTTTCAAAATTTTTATACAGCGTGTGAGCAGCCCAAATCTCCCAGACTGGTAACTTAGGAAGGAGGCCTTTTAAAAGTGTGTGTGAGGTGGTCATGAAATGTTGAAGGTGTCAGTAGTTTGGGCTAGCCCACAGGGAAGGCAACTTCAAGGCAGAATCCTTTACATTCTTTTCCAGGGTACTTGAATCTAATTTAGCCTGGTCCTAATATTAAGACATGAGTCAGTTCTAGAAATGTTATGTAGACATGTAGTGCAATGAATTTCTGACAAAAGACCTTGCATCCCCCAGAACACTAATAAATAATGATTCTCTGTCTAAATTATTATTTAGGAGAACAGTGCCATCTGCAGCAAATAGTTGTGAGACATTGATTTTGCCCCAAGATTATAGTGGTAAATTGCTCAGCAACCACAGCTGATGGACTCCCATAGCTACCTTCTCTTGCAATGTGTCTGCTGACTGGTGAATGGAACCAAGCTTGGGGGCGAAATCCTGCCTTTCCAGAGGATAGCATCTTGAATTTATATCTCAAGAGAGTTTGCTCCTTATGCAGAACAGTCTGCTTATACCAAGAACAGTGAAATGCTCTACCTTCACGTAGGCTTTGACCAATTTAATCAGTCTATCCTGCCCCAGAGAGGATGCTGCAAAGTGTAGGGAGAAGAAGAAATTACTCATTCCCGTGTGTGTGTGGAGGAATTGAGAACAGCTCAATTGCTGTTGAATGCTCCTCAAACTTAGCTTAGAATCGAGTTGGTGACAAAAAGCGGTTCTCTCTCACCCTTTTGCCTCCTGAGAGCTGGCGTAAGATCACGTTGGTATGCATAGAAAGCCGAGAAAGAGGGCAGCCTATTCTACCTTGATGCCATGATGGCTTCATCTTGCTTAGGAATTTCATTACCTCTATCATGATGCTCCTTACTAACATCACAAAGCCAAGATCTGATGGGTGTTGGAACATCCTATTCCCCTGAGATGGCCATTCCTTCTCTGGTGCTATACTCATATTCATTGTGGGACAGAACAGAAATAAGATTCATAGGACCCTAAGGGCATGGATGGAGAATTACTTAATTGAAACCACAAAGCTCTTGTGCTTAATATTAAATATTAAAGTGGAAATGAAAAAGGCAACCCTCAAGCACAGCTGCCCACAGTGCAGATTGGGAAAGCATTATAGGAAAAGTTTTAGAAAGCAAGTCCCCGTCTACCGAAGGCTGGAGCAATCGAACTGAAAGTATATACAGAATCAGGGTAGTTCATATTTTGAGGATATTGTAGCTGGTATGGATGCTTCCTGTGCAAAGACTGAAGTAGGTAAAAGTCAGTTTTGGAGCTTAGGACTCTCTCCTCAGAGCAGTGTCCACATGAACCGAATCCCCTTGCCACTGACCTTATGGGCAGAATGTAATTCCTCTCATATTGCAGATTGATTTCTTCCTATGCCAGGCTTCCCACTGGACATTGAGCCCTGAGGTAACTCACAACCTTTCCTTGTCCTCATGCCCTCTGTCACTTCTATTAAAGAACAGTCCTTAAAGCCTGTTTGGGTAAGTCCTGTTGGATGAGGCCAGTTACCTGGGTGGAAGTGAGAAATAGGCAACGGGTTTCAATACCAAGAAGAGACGCCTCCTAGGAAAACATACATGCCTACTAATTTCTAATCTAATCAGGAAGTTGGAGAGCATTTGAAGATGTGGAGCATCTTTCTTTCAATGAAACAAGATAGAGTATTACTATTCTTTCCATTCTCTGCTCATTCTCTGGGATACTAAAACTGTTTCTCTTCCCAGCAAGATAAATGGGGCCAAGGACAAAACTCCAACCTTCTCAGACAGCTATGACTGTCTTCTGCATGTTTTTGTTTCTTTTCTCACATTATCTGCCACATGATGAAGAAATATGCATGGCCATCACTAGTCAGACATACCGGCAAAATATGATACAGAAATTCATTAGGAATGATTAGAATCAGCATATTTCATTTAATCCCAATGGTCTTTGGGGAATCCTGTCTGTAATTCATCTCTCCTCTGAGACTCTTTCCTCTTCTTGAAGCCATTATTACAACAGGAATTCACTGTTTCAAAGTTGACTAAAGGAATGATAGCTATGCTAGGAAATTGACCCCAAATACTTATTTTTATAGCCATGGAAAAGTGGGTTTTATATTGACAATAACTTTTCCAGTTCTTTCCATAGAAATCCTTCTTGACCTCTCTGCCTCTTGCTATATCTCCAGATCCCACTTCTTGATCTGGGATTCCCTCTCTACCTTATTCTCCTGTTATAAAAGAAAAATATGCCCCTTAAACTGAATTCTTATTTAAACAGGTTACTCAGAAAAAGATCTGAGAATAATTTCTCATTGGTTTTCTTGTTATTCCTTAATTCGGAAAGAAAGAGTTGGAAAAAAATAGTAAGCAAGAAAGCAAACACGGCCTTGTCCTCAGATGCTTCAACTCAAGGTCAAGTGCCAGGAAACTGAGTGTGCTCAAGTGAGAGCCGAGGACCTGCTAAAGGAGAGGGACGTGCTCCAGAATATTAAGCAGCCACTGAGCAGGTACACATGGGCTCTGGTCAAGATGATTTCTGTGTGCATGAAGGCATTAATCTCTCACCCTAGCTCTCCTTCCCACATCCCTCCCTTTCGCTGTCATTTCAAGGCACAAGATCTATGATGGGGAATGCGTTAGTTTAAACACACTGATGATGTTGCACTATCCCCAGCTTTCCTTTGCCCTAGGCACAGGGAAAGCCAGTGCCTCTAAGTCTCTCAGCCAATGAGTTGTTGCATGTCAGTTCTGACTTGTTCGTAGCACATGCTGTTAAAATGAGAGAAAACTAGAGTGGGAAATAAATTCAGTGACAAGTAGACCAGAGCATGGTTCTGAAATAATAGTCTTCACCAAGGGAAGCCAAATTCCAGAAGCAAAAGAAAAGGGTAAAGAGGGCCTGATGGTTTAGAGGACAGAGAGGATAATGTTTATTGTTCATGATGTTCATAATGTCCAAGATGCTCTGATTAACCCCACTAAAAGTATTGTCCATCACTCCCACCCACCCACAAGCTCTAGTGGAAGGAGAAACCTGCTACCACTGACCACTCAGACAGAGGTGGATTCACTAGAAACAGGCACAGGCTTTCTGGCAGGGAGCTACTAACAAGCAATGCACCTTGGCTCTTCGAGAACTCATCTTCAGACCTTAGGGCAGCTCCTCACTGACTGTCTCCATTTTCCAGTCTAGAATATTCTGAGCAGAAGAGCCTCATGCTCATTGGGATGGCAATTACTCAATTTGGGAAGCCAAAGGACACAGAGAAGAGGAGAATATATCAAGAGAATGGAGTTAGCTTAAGCTTTTTTATTTCTTCATCTTCTTCAATTTTAGTGTGGTTTGGCATCACAAAGTTAGGTCACCTTTGAGAGAGAAAATCTTTTAAATAAAATTGTATCTTCCCATCCCAGTGAAAACACCAATTTTCACTTTCTAATCTGAAAGTGAAAGTAATCAGTTTTCTAATCTGATTACTGTTTACTCCAGAAAGGAAATTGGTGGATTCAATTACAAACAGGCATTTTGCAGATTGCTTTAATCCTGATTCTTACACATATTAGCATGAAATTTATTGACTCAGACATGATCCTTTAAGCTGTAAAACCTCATTAAAGGGAAATAGATCATGTGTTCTTAACCAACTTGGTTAAAAGGATGAAGTAATGCTCCCACAATTCAGTCTGTTCATTCTACTCTAGCAGAAGGCATTTGGGAATTAGGCAACAGAGGAGGAACACCAAGGGGGGACAATAGAGACAGAGAAATGGCTAATGAGACTGGGGGTCATTTTTTTATTATTAAAAATAATAATAAACCCAAGGTCAATTCTCAGATCCAAAATGAGCCCTGCCTGTGCCATTTAAAATGTTTGCTGAAATATATCCAGGGTTCAAAGTTTAATATTTTCTTGGAAGAGGGGTCTTGGTGATTCTGTCTTATTTTACTTTTTATTGGAAATTGTATTTGGAAAACATTTGTCTGCAGTTCTTGGGCATGTCTGTCCTTGCAAGGTTGTTTATTGAATGGAAACCCTGTGCCAGGGTGGTCTAGGTGCTGGGAGTCAACACAACAGAGGCAGTGTCTCTTGAGGTTCATGTGTCACCGAGAGGAAGTTTTTCATGTGAGAGTAACTTTACGATGCTTACCAAACATCCAGGTGGAAAGCAGACTAGGCAACTGCATACCCAAGCTTGAAGTTGAAGGCCCAGGGAGGGATTTTTTTTTAATTGCCCATTTTGTGATGACCAGAATGACCCAGTAGAGACAGGAAGCTGACGGTGCTTAGGAAGAGAAGATGGTGACCAGAGTATTGGCGATGATGAGTGAAAGGGGATGGAATCCACTGCACAAATAGAAGGCTGGATGTAGGAGCTGCTGGTGCTTTATAACAGAGAGACTGCGGTATGGGCACAGATGCAAGGGGGTAGAGAGGCCTGGGAACATGTCTGCTCGATTGGAACTATTCCGTGAAATACAAAGAGAATTCATCAGCTAAGAGTGGTAATTCAAGACTGTTTCAATGATTGAGCCAGGCAGAGGAGGAGAACTCGTATTCCCTGATGTACTTCGTGCGAGATTTGGTCACTATATGTGGTTTTTCATGGAGGAGAGCTGGAATGGTCTGAAAATGGCACTGCTGAGCACTTGAGCCACCTCTAGACTGGTGCTGTAACAAACGTGTGACTGGAATGCATGCTACTCAGTAGGGCTGCTGGAGTCTCCAGGAAGACAAGGATGTGACAGAAGTCGCCAGGGTGTGTGACAGTGGAGGACCGTGGATTCATAGGAAGGAATGGGAGCTAAGGATAGAAGATGGACTGCAGTAGGAGCTGGACCAGCTCACCTGTGGATGAAGGTGAGCGTGGGCTCCTCACAGTGGCTCTCCTGAGCTGGGTTCATGGGTGGTTGAGGTTGGTACTGGTAGTCGTTATCAGGTTGACGTGTCAAGGCTGCATGTGCTGGTCAAGACCTTGCCAGCAGCATGGGGCACTCTCACGGTTCATCAGTACCCACCCACCCCACCCCCACCTTTTAATTTCCACTGCCAAATTCTACTTTTGCTTATTTATTTGCTTGGAGACAAAGTTCAATCCTCCTGCCTCAGCCTCCCGAGTGCTGGGATTGAAAGCATCCACACCCAATCCTAGATTGGCCCTGCATGGTTTCATAGATGTCATTAGATGTGACCCTGGATGGAGATGGCATTGCAACACTTTACCTCCAAAAAGACTACATTTCACCGTACATCTTGCCCTTTCTGCTTTAAAAGCTTCCAACTAAGTTGCTCTCCTTGGGGGAAATTCAGAATTCTTTCTTCTTATTTATCTTACTCTTTGTTCATCTTTTAAAAGAAATCTAGAAGAAGAGCAAACAGCTTTGCTTCTGCCCAATTCTAGCAAATAATGGTTTCCTCTGACTGATCATTCAGTATTTTCTTTTGTGACAGAGAACAGTGGGCCAGGAGCATTAGGAAATGATTGGGCATCTTTGAAAGCTTTGGAGGGAGCAACATTTTGGATGATTAAGATGGGGTTAGAGAAGAAAGGTTTTAGTGGGGCTGCATGGGGGAGCGGAGGGGGAGGAGTGTACACTGAAGATAACACTGGAAAAAAATTAAAACTTTGACGAAAGGAGGTGGCAGGGCGTGGGGGTGGGGCATCTGTAGCATCTGGAGATTTGGCACACATAAACTAGATCCTGCCTTCTCCACAACATTCGGCATATCCGACACCAGTGATAGACTGGTCTTATTTTATTTCCTGGGGCCTTTAGGAAATCATAACTTGATTTGGTAGAGACAGCAGGCCTTTCTACTGAGCTAGTTCTCCTGACCCAACAGAACAAGGGGCAGGTGAAATCGTCACTGCCGGTTCAGCTTCACTGTTCACCAGTGAACACACACCCTTCAGCTGGTTCAGCTTCACTGTTCACCTTCAGCTCTGCCTTAGCCTTCCTGCCGCTCCTCTCAAAGATCAGCTGGTGTTCACCCAGGCTCATCTAATGCCTGTCTTCGGGTCTGTGTTGGAAGAGTATTACAGCCAACTCAAGGGCTTATTCCATGCTTTATGCACCAGTGCTGGCTACAACTCCTTTAGCAAAGAACAGGGAAGCAAAAGCTGCAGGGGGGGTTGTCCTGGCTGCTTGACTTCCTGCCCAGCAGGAATCCAGCCTTTCAGAGGTCAACTGAACAGAGCATGGCTTCCATCTGCCCAAGATTTCCCCTGCTTCTGGCTGTCACACCAACGTAGTAGTAATCGGGTATGACTGTGTAAGAATCTGTGGGACGCGAGGAGAGAGGTTAAATAGAGGAGAGGGGATCTTCAGTGGAGCTTTGTGACACAGTGACCATCCCAGCATTCATACTTTAGAGTAGCCATAACACTTGTGGAAACAGGTCCAGGGAGCTAGCTGGAGTGTTAGCATGGGACCAGAGAAGACAAAGGATAGGGCAATGAACTCTTACCTGTGGGGGAAAAAAAAAATCTCTTTTCTTCCAGTGCTCTAACAGTGTCATAAGTACACTTAGCCACAATGACAGAAGCATGTCCGTGTGTGACTGTGGGTGTGCGTGTGAGTTTGAGCGGGCGTATGAAGGGGTGAAACGCTGTATACACACACAGTGGCTTGGGCTGCAGTCGCAGAACCACACCCCTCCCGGAGTCATTCTGGCTGGGGGTGATGGTCACAGCTTCCCTGGTGTGGTGTCCCCTCTGCACAAGGAAAGCCCTCAGGCTTGCCTGGACTCTGTGAGGCCAGATCCCACGTTCCTCCCCTAGGCCAGCTCTCCTTCCTCTTGACTCTCAGATCCCCAGCCCATTCACTTCCAAGTTCTTTTAGGTTGTTTGTTTGGTTTTGGTTTTTGTTTTCTGTAAATATCGATTTCTTATTTTGGACATGCAGGGATCAATTGAGATTCTGGAGTGGGGGGAGGGGCGGATGACTGGGTCTTTTATTTTTTTCTTTCTCTCTTGAATTTTGGTGTTTGAACTTGAAAAAAATACTTACAAGTATATATATAAGCAAATGACTTACCTTTAACAAACAAAATAAGTTGATTTCATTCTTTTGTTTTATCTTGTTTCTCATTGGGGTAGGGTGGGGGTGGGGGGTCTTTCGGGTGGAGGGCTTTTTTGTGAGCTGTATAGATTTCCAGTTTGGACTTGTTCAAATGATGCAGGAACAAAAATTAAAATGAATTTAAAAAAAGACAACATAAAAACAAGAAAAACCTTTGTGATGTATAAAAGCTGTACATAGTCAAAGATCCTTTCTCTTTTCTAATGGCAAATTATTTCTGTCACTTTATATTCAAAAAATAAAGAAACCTACCACAAATATCAGGGTAAAAAAATTCAGAATCAGTGTTTTTTTCTTGGACTTCGTGGGTTTTTTTTGTTTGTTTGTTTATTTATTTATTTATTTATTTATTTATTTATTTATTTTTAACAGTGGTTTAGAAAGCCTTATTAAATCTGTGTTAAAGGAAGAAAGGTGCCTTTCCCTGGGGGAGGGGGGGGCTGTTTCTGGCTGTCAGCATTCCTCTGCACTGTGAATCTGCCCACTGATGCTAATGTCTCTGGGTTGTGAGTTAGAGGAGTTTAAATACTCATGGTCCAAAACTAATCTTTTAGCTTCCTAAAGGGTCTTTATTTAATCACTGTCAACCTATTTTGTTTTCTTTGGAATATGAAAACAAGAATTTCAAATATATTCAAAAGCAGACAAGAATGGCTTAATGAACCTGCAGGTATCAACACACAGCTCCTATAATCATTGAGATATGCTAATGTGTTTACTGAGTTTTTAATCTCTACTCCAAGGCCTGTGAGATGGCTCAGCATGTAAAGGTGCTTGCTGCTAAGTCTGAAGACCTGAGTTCATCACAGGAACCTACAGGGTAGAAGGAGAAAATGGACTTCTGCAAGTTGTCCTCTGATCTGCACAAATATTGTGACAATCCAGGGCATGTTTGTATGCACATACACAATCATATACACATAACAAATAAATAAAAATGTAATAGAGTTCACTAAAAACAATCAGACCCTTATGTGGGTCCTCCTCTTCCATCATCCTAAAACAAGTGCCATGATTTGATTATTTTAACTGCATTTCAATGGGGTATCCCTAAAGAGGAAGAATTCTTAGTGTTCACAGTGCCATCATGACACAAAGGTGCCACAATAATTCTTCCACAGCACATATCTACTGCTCAGAAATTTTAGTGTATAAATATAATGTCACTTTCCAAGGTTGTTTTTGTTTTGTTTAACATTGTAAGTCAAATACAATCCTCAGATTCCACAGCTCTTTCTCAAGTTTATTTTGCATCTATAGTTCACCTCCTGACTTTTTTTTTGGGGGGGGGGGATGTATGTGTTATGCAATTGCTGCATTTTTCCTATGTGGGACTCCCTTAGTTTGATTTTGATGCTTGCATTCTCATATTAATGACCAATGTGTGCTCTGTCCTCTGTATTTTTTTACAAACTGATAATTGGTATGCCTTTTGATGCATAGTCTCATTCCTTAGAAACATCAGAAAAGTCATCTGGCCTTCATTTTGGCCAATGTAAAGTGTATTTGTTGGAATTAGATAACCAGAGGTACAAGTGTCACCCAGGTTACCAGCAGTAACACTGGTCTAGTTATAAATATATCTGACTGCTTTCGAGAGAGAGAGCAGGACCCCGTCTGCTTCTGCATTTCTCCACAGTGGTGTTTCCCCATCTTGTTGTTGTCCTGCACTGGCTTTATATGTAGATGTTGCATGATTCTTTCCTATACCTAAATTTCTAATTTATTCATGTTAATAGTCTCTCTTTAGCTGTTTCTAGTAATGAAGTAAAATACCAAATAGAGTTATTGTTTCAAAATGCAATGATGGGACACATCCCAGCATCACTTATTAAAGACCATATGCTCTACCTCTCATCCTAGTATCAGAAAGGATCATATGGGGCGCCAATTAGTCGATAGCCGGCTTATGACTTTTGTAAGTTCAAATGAAGCAGTCGGGACTAGAAGCCAGTCCTGCTAATCTCTGCTACAGTATATCTTCCAAGACAACTCTGTCTGCAGCCACTGTCTCAGAGAGATTTTCTCCGTGGGTTCCTCCTGCATTTTTCTCCACACGGGAGCAAAAGAGTTCATTCACCTTGAATATTCTAAGAAGAAGGAAGCTCTAACATGAAGTCAGAGTTGTTCCTGGGTACATAAGTCCTCTTTACTACTAGAAAGACATCCTTAAAGCCCAAACTGTCCTGAGGCTTTTACAAGATTCTCAGGGTTACAGCTGGCATGATTTGGAATACCTGAAAAGTGTTTTGTGTTTCTAAAGTCAGAGGGAACACCTCACCATTCCTTTGGTGCTGGTCTTAAACAAGAAAACTTGGAAGTAGAAATGCCAGTGGAAACAAAGATGTAATTGAACCTTTGGTGACAATTATGAAACTTTAAATAAAACAAAAGACTCAAGTGACCGGATAATATGTAATGATTCCCAGTACTGTAGCAGCAATCTTTTCTTCATATTGCCTGACTCACACACCATGTGGGACTTCTTAAATCAATTAGCTCAGAGTCTCTATTCTGTGAATCTGTGCCATCCCCAGTTCCACTGTAAGAGACCACCAGCAAGACCAAAGGAAAAACCAGTCACATACTGTGCACCAACTGTCTTCGGAAGGTGGCTGACTTGGTTAATTTCTTCATTCTTTGACCACATACCTGACAAGAAGCACCATAGGGAAGAATTCACTGTGACTCACAGCGTGACGCTGGAGTCCACCATGGGAAGGCATGACCATGGCAGCCGCTCACAGCTGTGACCAGGAAGCTGACAGAGCAAGGAAATCAGAGCCTATGGTTCTCAAGACATGTCCCCATCCCAGTGACTCACTTCCTCCAGCTAAGCCTCACCTCCTAAACCAGTCCACAACCTCCCCAACAGCACCACCATCTGCAAACCAAGTGTTCAAACACATAAGCCTATGGGGGACATTTTACATTTAAACCATAACAGCAGTCTCCCCAGGCTGCTCCAGGATCAGCATGCTTCCCTTACATAACAATACTAAAAAAGTAAGAACACTATGGTGATTTGATTTGAAACCAGTCACCCCTCAGTATCCTTGGAGAATTGGCTCCAGGGCCTCCTTATGGATGCCTAAACTCGGGCTTCTATAAAAATACACAGTATTTACATAGAACCTATACACACCCTCCCATATACTATAAGTCATGTCTAGATAACTTACAATCCCTAACACACTGTCTTAGTTAGTGTTTCTGTTGCTGTAAAGAGACACCATGACCACAGCAACTCTGATAAAGAAAAACATTTAATTGGGGCTGGCTTACAGTTTCAGAGGTTTAGTCCATTATCATCATGGTGGGACATGGGAGCATGCAGGCAGACATGGTGCTGTAGAAGGAGCAGAGAGTTCTTTTTCTTGATCACCAGGCAGCAAAGGAGACTAAATAAAACACTAGGCATAGCTTGAGCATATGAGACCTCACAGTCCACCCCTACAGTGACACACTTCCTCCAACAAGGCCATGCCTCCTAATAGTGCCACTCCCTATGGGCCAAACATTCAAACACATGAGTCTATGGGGCCGTTCCTAGTCAAACCACCACACAATGTCAGTACTATGTAAATACTAGTTATGCTGTACTGTTTAAGGGATAGTGATTTTTTTAAAGCTCTGCATATGTTCATTACAGATGCAATTTTGTAAAAAGTTATTCTGATCTTCAACTAGTTGGATTAATGGATGTGGAACCCATAGATACATAGGGATGGCTGCATATCTATTCCTCCAAATTCAAGCCCAAAATATTCCTTTCAAAATGATTAAAAAGTGCAAATTATTTTCTGGGAGCAACTTCCTTGTAAAACCTCTAGAATGACCAAAAGGAAGGGGAAAACCATTATACAGAAGTTTCCGAAACATTCTGGGGAGCCTGTCAAAAAGTTACATTGGTGTTGGAGAATGCTTGCTGATCTTCCAGAAAATCTGAGTGCTGTTCCCAATACCTACACAGGCAGTTTATAATCTGACACACGCTTCTGGCCTCTGTAGGCACTGCACCCATATGTACACACACACACACACACACACACACACACACACACACACACACACACACTTTAAAAAATATTGAGAAAGAAGGAAAATAGTTATGTCAACGTTATCATTAGTGATCTTCAGTGACTT